TACGCGCCGTTCATTACAGAATTAGTTGGAGTATTTATTTTTGGGTCAGGAGGTAATAGTCGGAGTGTCACCTACGCATTGGGATCGGTTGGAATGTCAAAATTGAACTGACTAAGCTGTCTATTACTCAAAAAGCCGAACAATGATATAAAATTCCACCATAGCAGGCTGGGGTCAAGGTAACGCGATTCCTGCATAGACCATATCTCCTCACAACTCTGCCCCCACGGAATCGATGGCAACCCGTACTGTTGGTATACTCTGCTGGGTCAGAATTAATGTCGGTCATCCGGTAACAGGTCGCATTTTTCCAAAGCATCTACTGCTATTGTCCATCGTAATCACGAGATCAAGGTCACGTTATGACTATGCTGTTATTTAGAGTATTAAGTAGATGCTGGTTCGGATTCGCGAAAGCGTACCGGAGCAACAGTAAAATCATAGGCCTCCCTAAACCCTGACTCAGTCGGGTATATTGGAGAATTAAGTTTCCTAAGTCGAGATGCGAAGCATAGCTTAAGGTAACAGATCCTCGTATTTGTTAATTAATAAAATGATTAATAGTGCGTTGTCAACGCCAACAAGTTTCTTATATTAATGACATTTGCTCATGTAAGGTGACAATGTTGCGCGACAGTCGGTATGTTTGACTGGCGACAGGAGATGCATTCATTAATAGAAATTTGTTTTAAAAAAAATCGCATAGTGAACGATTAATGGTGCACGTATTGAACTGGATTATTCTCTTAGACTACCAACGAATAGATAAGAAAAAAAAAAACGTATAAAAATCGTGTCAAATCGTATGTTTGTTGACAGATATTTTAGATTCTGATAAAACGATAGGAACTAATTTGAACTAGTTTTACGGTTCAAACTTGTGTTTTTATTGTTAAAAAAATCGATTTTATAAGGGCTCGTTGTCTATTTTATGTTGTATCTATATAACCCAAGAAAAATCTTTTATAATCCATCTCATGCCGCTACTGTCAACACTAATACTATGGACGATATAAAACTTAGTTTAAATCATTCTAGTGATGTGGCAGCTATGAGAGTTATAATTACTGGCTCTTAAAAGAAAGCATATTGCATTGAATAATGACGTCATTGTTCATATCTGCAACGCAAATTCAATATAAAAAATCTATAAACGGGTAATGAAATAAATAATAAGCCACATACGTTCCCAAGTATGAAGAAAAACCTTGTAAAGGTGATGTCACATTGTAAGTATGCACTTTAAAAACAGGTATTCTTATTTGTATTTGTGACACAATGTGATCCTACAGGTTGCCATCACTGTTTTAAAGGTCAACTATGACCATCCTGGATGATATCGTTTCAAGCGTTAAGTTCGCTCAATGTAATAATCTTGTTTATTTTTAAGTAATTTAATCTTTTCTCCAATTTACAAATGATTGATTAAGGAACATAAATAATTAATTTCATTTCTTTTCCTTTCCTGACACTAACTATAAATATATTACCTATATAACCTACTTAATTTTGTATCGGATTTTTGCGTATTCTGCATACATAAATTATATCAAAAGAGAATTTTTTAAATTCGAAAGCTTACGGAATACGAAGATTACCTGATGGACAATGATCATTGTCCAACGACAAGATGCAAGGCGGTGTCGCTTATTTATCTCAAATACCTACTCAATCATCAAAATCTTTAAATATTTTGATTCCGCTTGGCATAGCCAGGCAAGTCGTCATTGCTAAACTATAATTAGGAATGCACTAATTACTAGTATGGTCGTAAAGTAAAACCCTAAGCGCTACGATATTAGTATTTCATATTTGTCCAGGCTACTGGTTTGAAACTGAGCTTTAGTCGTTTTTTTTTTTTTTTTTTATTGCTTAGCTGTGTGGACGAGCTCACAGCCCACCTGATGTTAAGTGGTTACTGGAGCCCATAGACATCTACAACGTAAATGCGCCACACACCTTGAGATATGAGCTCTCAGGTCTCAGTATAGTTAAAACGGCTGCCCCACCCTTCAAACCGAAACGCATTACTGCTTCACGGCAGAAATTGGCGGGGTGGTGGTACCTACCGGTGCGGACTCACAAGAGGTCCTATCACCAGTAATTACACAAATTATAATGAATGAAATGATAACTACGCATACTCGATCCAGCAGACTGAAAGGCTGTCACCGTCGCCCTAAACACGTCATTTCGGATCCTCCCGATTCACTCTCGGTGAATTTAGATATTCCAAACACCGGTCTGCGTCCTCGTCGAAGCTGTGCGATGAAAGGTTTGACGTGCAACGTAACCCACAAACCTAACCCACTGAGATTCATGCCGGAGCTTCTCAATGTGTCGCGATACCGACCCGATGATAGATTCAACGAAGCACTGCTCTCGCTATGGCAGATGTTAGCGAAGTCTCCTAAACTGAGCCCCGGTGAAGCTAGTATAACCACTAGAGGTTAAAAAAATTTAAGATCACTGCCTTTCAACAATGTTATTAATACAAAAGTGTTTGCCAGTTTGTTCTTTATTCAGACGGCAATCGATTGATATGCTTTTAGTGACAGTGCCAGTGAATGTGGTAATTTTAACGAGCTTTTATTAGTTTGACGTGTATCGTGTTAGGTAGGAAGCGATTTGACTGTGTCCCAGTCTTTTTTCCCCTACCCCAAAGTTACACCCGGACGGGTGGTAGGTGAGCTCTCAGGCTCAACTTGAGAGAATTTGCTAACACTAGCCCTAGCAAGAGCGGTGCTTCGCAGAATCTACCACTGGATCGGAATCGCGACCCACTGAGAACATCCGACGAGAAATTCAATGGGCTGTGTCTATGGGTTAGTTTGCTCGAACTCTTCATCGTAATCGACAAGTTCCACGAGGACGGTGACCGGTGCTTGAGAGGCCAAAAAGCACCGAGAGTGAATCCGGGGGTCCGACAAGATATGTTTCGGGTGACGTCAGCTAATCTTAACCCCGTCGCGATCCGATAAGCCCCTGTCATTGCTGACGTCCATGAGCAAAACGACGGCGAACCTGATGATCAGTAGTTACCGTCACTCGTGGACATCAGCAATGCCAGGGCCATAGTCAAGCCGCTGCCTACCGCTCAGTAATCTCCGTAAGCCTCGTTTGAAGAAGGACATGCTGTGCCGCTTGGAAAACAAAGGTCAGTATAGAGTTCAGCTGAAACCTCAGCGCATACTTAGTAAATAATAGGTCTATGACGTTAAGTAGATGAGCAGTAGTATATTATTGTATTCAATTAAATTCATTGTATGCAAAGTAATGACGCATTTGAACCGAAATCTACGCAAACATTCATATAATTTATAACGAACATACCCCATTAATTAAGTGAACTAATTATAATTACGGTTCAGTGAATAATAACGGGTTAATGTTTATTCAAGATAAATTAAGTACATTTAATTAAATTTGTAACATTTTAATTCATTTCGAATGGGTCGCAGCGTGTTTTACAAAGTTAGGTGGGTACTTAGACTGAAATATTGGTACTTAGTTTTCGATGTTTTTTTTTTTTAATTTAAACGAAAAACTCATAGGTAATAATTACTAAAATAAATACATTTTATTTATTGTACAAATTAAATCGATGCTTCATTATACACCAGCCTACAAACAAGCATAAACGCATGTCATTGTCTTTTTTTTTCCTACTTATGCTGATAGCCTTCAGAGGCTATTTCAGCTTCTCCTTGACGTGTAGGTGAGATCACGGGGCTCAAACCGGGAGTGTTGCTAGCACTGGCCCTAGCAAGAGCAATGTTCCACAGAATCTACCAGCGGATCGGAAACGCGACTCACTGAGAAGATCCGGCGAGAAACTCAGTGGGCTGTGTCTATGGGTTAATTCACTCGTCAAGCCCTTTATCGACGGGTTCGACGAGGACAGTGACCGGAGGTAGTCCATTAAAGAGAAAAATTATAATTGGATAAATTGGAATAAAATGTGTCGCATCCTTAAAAGTGCGGCTGATTCGCGGCAGAATTAGGTAATATGGTGTATCGATCTCGGAGGGATCTTAATACACGTTACCACTAGTACAGGATTACTGGAATGACGTGTTATTGTGAAAGAGTGTGTGTAAGGTCGTACGTAATCGTCCTTCAGTCGTGTTTCTTATGTCTACAGGTCGTGACCCCCGTGACTTTCGTCTTCATGATATTGAGTCACCTCATCCGGCCTTCGGCTACTTGGAGAGCATTCTGTGGGTAGTGCGGGTCTGGTCAGACCGACACATTAGACTCGGACTCGGGATCTATTTCCTTCCACTTTGCAAATCACCAGTTGTTCAAGAATGTCTCTGACTTTTCAGCACGTAATATGTTTTGTCGAGTAATGTAATGTCGTTAGCTTAATGGTGTTTGAGTCATTCAAGATATTGTCAAGAAAACATTAAATTTTCACTTTTCAGATTATTTCTCAAGTACATATTTGGTTCTGTTATGCTTTTTGCGTTTTCCGACAACAAGCTTTTAAGATATCGAAGACAAAATTCATTACAATTAAAAATTTTTGAATTGCCAAGTCCTGGTTTTGATTTTGCTGCAAATCCATCTATAAGCCTTCTACTGTAATTGAAAGCTAGACAATTGGAGATATTTTTGAAAAGTTTTTACATTTAATACTAAGACAATTTTAATGTTGCTTCAAACTCAGCTGCGTAAAGCTAATGATGAATGTTTGCTTTTTGATAGAGCTACTTCCAAAGCGTATTATTATATAATACCGATTGAATTTTAATTTAACTTAATAAATTGATGTTACAAGTGCCTACGTAATTTTGCGTATTTACGATAAAGCAGTTTTATGTCAGATGCGATAGGTAAACCCGCAAATTAATCTATCAACAAAAGAAAGTTTATAAACGTTTTTGCGAGGCACGCAATGTAGCGCAAATTATTGACGAAAGAGGTCATCGGCCTAGTGTGACGTAGAGGGAGGGGTCTTAACTTTGTTTAATATTTGAACTAGTGTTGTTACTTACTATTCGGTGAGCCGGCTCGGAACATTGGGTTAGGGGCCATCCAGGGGAAAGCCCCGAAGGGCCAGGCGGGCGGCGGCGCCGGTCCCTGGTACAGGCGTGGCAGTAGTGGCTGAGGGACCACGACACCGCTTCTATTGTCCATCTCCTCTCCATCATTGTTGATCTCTCGGTCGTCTCTGTCATCGCCCACGTTGTACTCCACGTCTTCGATGTCAACATCGCTCTCATCGGTTTCCGGTGCGGCCTCATTGCTGTCTGCTGGACTGTGGCTTGGGCTTGTGTCTTTGGGCGGTGTTTCGTTCTTACTGCCGAGTAGGGAGTCTACGCTGAAAGATATGCGACCCTTCCCGCCGCTTTCGGCGGTGTCGGCGCGCTCGCATTCGAGCGAAGTCTTCATTTCATCTGCTCGATGTCATGACACACGGCTTCCTTCAGTTATTCCTTCCGGCGCCACTCATACTGACATTACACGGCCAGATTGAACAACGCTTATTATAATTGTATTCGATTTTATAAATCGATTTCCTGTTGTAAAATTCTAATTTGTTTATCGTAAATCACATAATGCTTACGTAGTTCGCACTGATTATTCAATAGGTTGTTTAAAATTTTTAATTTAATTATATACTCGTTTTTCTGATTGTGTCAAATACATCGTTCAAGTTCATTATAATTTGCATTATTACATATGTTTATGGCTGATTTGCGTAATTCATTATCGATCGTTTATACATCGAGTCTTATTCAAATTACACTGTTCACAGAACTAGATGTTTGTTTCAGTCAATCAACGTCACCGGTTGAACTTGATTCAGTCACCGAATTAACTATCACAGTTTGGCAACACTAGAATATTTCAAATTGGAACACGGCTTCATTCCAAATTGGAATATAACGCGGTCCGTTGGCGGCGCGTTCGGTAACTTGCGAATAGGTATCGGCAGCGCGCAATATCTCCACGTACGATTCGCGTGGAAGCGCAGTGAAAATCGCGCTAGCATTGGGGCGCGAACCGCGGCCGCGACCCGCCTCTCCGCACCGGCCGACAGAGACGCAGATACACACCGAGGAATTTTAATAAGCGACGCGGAGCGAATGAGACGACGATACAATCCGACATGTGTGTAAACGCGATATTCGGTAGGCGGGGTCCGTCGCGCTCAAATTAATAGTCTCTGTGGAATACGCCTTATAAAAACTCTTTTCTCCTTTCGATTTCCGTCTCTATGGTTCTTAAAAAAAAGTCGCATTTCGATTGTGTGCATTTAAAATAAAATGACGTAACGGATCCGAACGAGTCGGATCACTGCGGCTATTGTGTTGAATGAAAAAGGAGTAAATAGACGTTCGGTGTAGGCGGCGTAGAGGGGACTTTACGATTTAATTATTCGCGAATGCGGAGGCATTTTGTAGCGAGCTAATGTCTCATTGTCTCATTATCGGGCGGGCCGGCCATGTTTGATTTGTTTATGACGCGGCCCATAGGTGAGAAGTGGCGTAACTGTATCGTATTGTGGGCTACACGCGATGAGCTAGTCTCTAGGCGTTTCGGTTACAACCGGGAGACAGCTGTTCTCGTGTTCCCGACCGGAGATTTGCACCGCTCCGGCCGGATGCGGCTTCGCTCCACATTTATTTGAAGCGTACACGTTGCCCGTAGGATTTGTTGTGCATTTCGTCATATCATTAATTGCAATTAGAATTTGAAGGTTCGAATATCGTGTTTATTTTATTCTGTCGCGAATCGTGGATGCAAGTTAAACTACTTTTTTTATTTTATTTTTTATTGCTTAGATGTTTGGACGTGCTCACAGCCCACCTGGTGTTAAGTGGTTACTGGAGCCCATGGACATCTACAACGTAAATGCGCCACCCACCTTGAGATATAAGTTCTAAGATCTCAGTATAGATACAACGGCTGCTCCACCCTTCAAACCGAAACGGACTACTGCTTTACGGCAGAAATAGGCAGGGCGGTGGTACGTACCCGCGCGGACTCACAAGAGGTCCTACCACCAGTACCTAGTACTTTTACGATTTAATTTCGTATTCATTTTATAATTATTTACGTTTTAAATAATTTAGACTTCGTTTTCTATGACTGTTACCACATTGTAATAACATTCGGCAACATTTCAGTATTTTGCTAACTACCGTCTAATTTTAAGAATTAAACAACTCAATTGGTATATCTAACCATCAGTTATCCAATATGTAGTTATTGTATCGTGATGGGAAACTTCAGGACCGCACCTTTCTTTCAAACAATAATTAATCTGCACGTATCGTGAATTTCCTTTTTAATAAACATAATAATGTATTTTTGAGACCTATTCTTTTAAAAGACCAATTTTTAAGTTGTTAATTTCAAAAACGACGAGTCAAAAAACAGTTTTAGTATTAGAGCACTGTCTCAATCGAATACGCCCTGTATATAGTCTTGTCGTTTTTTTTCCCTACCTATTCTAGTAGACTCGAGAGGTTATTCTAGATTCGCCGAACTAGTAGGTGAGCTTACGGAGCTCAAACCGGGGGCGTTGCTAACACTGGCCCTAGCAAGAGCAGTGCTTCGCAGAATCTACCACCGGTTCGGAAACGCGACTCACTAAGAAGATCCAACGAGAAACTCAGTGGGCAAGATTGCGTGTTCAATGTTCTGAAATCGGTCGGGACCAGGTCTAATGGATGCATTTCTCTTTATCTGTCTACGTCTCCTCCTCGAAGAATAACGTCTACATAAATATCTAGGATCCTCGCAACGTCAAAATTATAAATCAACCGCTTTAACTACACTGAAGTCTCTATAAGATTTTCGGTTAAGTTTTCTTTTGATTGTAGGGAGTCCTACAATTTTTTCTCTAACAAGTTCGTACACAAATGTACTTGGATATTTTTTGCATAGATTGGTGTACGATCTCTCGACCTATCTGTATTAAGTGGTTACTGGAGCTGACGCCCACTTTGAGACATGAGTTTTAAATCTTAGTTCTGTAGTAGAACGAATGTTCCGCCCTTGAAACCGATACACCGAGAGACAGAGTCAATATATCCTAATACATGTCTCACTCAGTCTCATACGCGTGGATAATGCCCTCGTGCTCTTACCCACAGAGGTATTAAATTGAATTTAGGGGATGATTGGTCCTTTAAAGCGTCTGCAAAGCAATTCGGCCGACAGAAAGTATCTGGGAGTATTGGCCTAAAATATACGTAAAAATCAGCTTTCAGAAAATACGTGAATTATGTCATGATTTTATGTAACTTGAATACCTGATACCTAAAAATTGGCCGTCTAAGCAAGGTAGCAGGTAGGCGTTCTTAGTTCATACTAACACTACGCAATCGGCCACATTTCGTTCGTCAGAAAATACGGGACGTCCGGGGCCCTAGGATCTTACTCTATTACTGTTTTATGAGAGATATAGATATGGTACCTACTCGCGCGGCTCAAAACACAACCAAAGTAATTATGCAAAAAAATTTTTTTGCTGGTTCGTTTTTTATTACACGATGCTATTCCTTCACCGTGGAAGTCAATCGTGAACATTTGTTGAGTATGTATTTCATTAGAGAAATTGGTATCCGCCTGCGGGATTCGAACACGGCACAGTCGCATCGCTCGATACAATTGCACCGGGCTTCTTATCTTTTAGGCTACGACGACTTCAAAACGTTTGAGCTATAAAAACCAAATCCATTCTGCACAAATTTTATTTAAGAACTTGCTGTAGATAGATACAATGCATCAGGAACTGCTTAGTCTGTATTTATATTTACTAGTGGTCCCTCAGTAGTCGAAATTCGACTATAATTAATTGAAATTATAAGTTTGAACATTATTATGGTTCTGTTGTCAAAGACTATTTATTATACATCTATAATCACAGATTTCGGCAAGACTACACTATAGACAAATTATGTTAAAGTCAAACAATATCAATCTATTTTCAATTTGACCACAGACTTTGAACAATAAAAAAGTTTGACTATAAACAAAGAGTGTATATTTGTGTTGTGTTAAATACATGGTAGTGTGTGTAATGTTTTTTTTAATTGATTTAATGTATTATTTATGACTAATTTTAAAATATTCTGTACTCCTTCTCTATATTCTCTATAAGTGTGGGAAATTTCACACTTCTCCGTCCGCGCAATTCTCGAAAAAAGAGGTACAAAGTTTTTGCTTCACGTATTAATATATAGATATTGTGTTCGTAAGGCCAGGCTTGCGTAACAATATCGGCCCGTGTGAGATCACATGATGCCTTACCACCAGTAGATATCACTAAATAAATAAATAAATCCCTTAAGAGTACTTATCAGTGCGAAAATGAATGTATTCCTAATCATTAGCGCCATGTCACTTAGCTCAAACTTAATCGCATTACACCATTATCTGTCATCTCTTTGTGCATGCCAAAAAGAATTTTCCTTCGGTCTTTGCTATTTTAATTCTGAACCTTAAAGTGTTTGGTTGTAAGGATCAAAATTGATTGGAAATTGTTCCTTGATGGTGACGATCTGCAAATATTAACAAAGGGGAGTTTTTGGGGTGCGGTCCGTTTGTGAGATACGATTAGATTTGACTGGTTTTGTTGTATTATTATAATTTATTTTTATTATATTATATTTATTTAAAATCTTATTAATTATGAAATACAATTTAAAGAAAACACTTTATTAAAATAGATTGCCGCTAATGGCGGTGTCTGTTTGCTATTATTATTATTATTTTTGAATCTTATTCGTGTTTTGAAATTATCTACAAAGGTTCATATAAACAAATCCCGTAAAACTTTATTACTTAATAACGGTTTTCACAATAAACGCTGACATAGCCTCTCAAGGCTATCAGCTTAGGTAGGAAAAAAAATCGCATAGCTTATCACTGCATAGCTACAACTGGGGCATAATCCTCAGGAATTGGAACAAAGGAAAATACACTGTATTTCTTAAACGGGACAGTTATTTTTCGAATGGATCAAAGCAAAATTCATCCCCTACCAATTAATGTAATTTAATAGGGCGCAGAGATTAACGTTCGCTGTAATTGAAAGAGTGTAATGACAAACAGTTTATATAAGGTTTTGTATTGGGACCGGCGCGACAGGGATGACGAGGGATTTACCCTGAGATTATTTTATTTCTATGCCATTTATTTTTCATATTTTGGTCATATCTTCGGTTTTTGCGAGTCGTAAACATAATTAAAACAAATTTTACAATATAATCTCGCTTTTTTTATTATCCTAATATTATTTCCGACGTTTCGAATACTTTTAATTTTTTTTTCATTATTATACTTATTAAGTTTTAATTTTTCATTATTATTATTATTTTGTAATTGTATTTTTTGACTTTTTTTTCGTTTATTGCAAATATTGTTACTTATTTAAA